CTTGCACGCTTAGACAGCGTCTCTTTATTCCTCCAAGGTTACCCGTTCTTGCTTGCACCTTCTTTATGCTTCCTTCTTGTGTTTCCATTGTGCCAGGAGCTCCTTGTTCTTCCACGCTGACCTCCTGGCATGCTTGCATGCCTTTCTGCTCGTTGGGACGGGCTGTTCTTGAGTTTGCAGGAGGTGGTCCTTGAATATTAACCAGCTTTCTTGGGGCCCTCTGGCCTCCAGGGCCTTATCCCATGGGACTCTTCCAAGCAGATCTTTAAAGAGACAGAAGTCTGCTCTCCTGAAGTCCTGGCTTGTGAGCTTGCCAGTTACCCTCCTCCCCGCCCTCAGGGTCCTGAACTCCACCATCTCAATGTCATTGCAGCCCAGGCTGCCTTTCTTCTTCACGTCCCCACAAACCCTTCCTTCTCCGTGCGTATGAGGTCCAGCAGACCACCTGTCGTCCTAGGCTCCTCTGCCACTTGGGTGATGAAGTTGTCGTCCTTATGGTCCAAGAACCTCCTGGCTTGCCTCTGGCCTGCTGTGTTGTCCCTGCAGCAGACATTGGGGTGGCTGAATTTCTCCATGAGGACAAGGGCCTGTGAATGACTCACATGCTCCTATCTGACTGTAGAGGGTCTCCTGCGCTTGTTGTTCCTCGTCAGGTGGCCTATAGGTGACACTCACTCCAATGTCACCCTTACCTGTCTTCTGTTGGTTGCCTACCATGCTCCTATCTGACTGTAGAGGGTCTCCTGCGCTTGTTGTTCCTCGTCAGGTGGCCTATAGGTGACACTCACTCCAATGTCACCCTTACCTGTCTTCTGTTGGTTGCTTACCCATAAGCTCTCAGGTGGCACATCATCCGTCCCCGGGCAGAGCTCCACACACTCCAACTGCTCTCTCATAGAACGGGCAAGTGCCCCACCTTGTCTTCTCAGCCTCTGCTTCTAATAGAGCCTCTATCCCTCCAGTGCAACATACCCGTCATGGGAGCCATCCCACCCCACTTCTGTGATCCCAACATGATCGTTTCCCTGCAACTGCACACAGAGCTCTAACATCTCATCTTTATTCCCCGTACTGCGTGCATTAGTGTACAGAAACTTGACAGAGGCATCACAGCATGTTGAGATCTGAGAAATCCCAGGCAAATTCAGACCAGACCATAACTTGCATGGTTCTCAGAAACTGATCGAAGAACGAAGGCAAGGACAAGGAAAACTTTAATTTAGTTGTCTCGAATTTGTAGCTCGCTTGCAGTGAGACACATATAGTAGAGTAGATGGATGAATGCCTGTGGAACGATGGTTGTATGCCTGGCCGTATGGAAGAAGAGAGTGTGAGGAGGTGGAGGGAGAAGGAGACTGGCACTGGTAAGCCGAGGTCGTGAGAAGAGCCACCAGGCTCAGGGAAAGACTTTTTGTTGAAAGGTTATTGCAGCTCATATTGCAATGTGAAACCTCACTCTGACATAAACTCCATTGGTAATCTTGGAGCCATGGCAAAGAAGAAGAGGATATTTGGGAATCAGTTTGTCCGTCATGGTCCCCAAAACGCTGGAGACTTTCCGTGTCAGGGGGACAACAGCCTGAGTTTTCTGCTGCATGGCACAGTCATTTTACCACTTCTTCCTGCATGTCACTGAGTTTCTAACCTTCTCAGCGATGTCCTTAGGCTGCTACATTGGCAGACACAAACAGCTGCATTACATCACTGTCATGACAAAGATACTCTGCTTCTTGCTATGCTTAGCAGCATAACCACTGCGTTTTGTGGTCATCAACTCCCAGATGCCTCTGCTGCTGGTGCAGTGCCTTCTCTGCTCCAAGAACAACATTGACCATCCCTACTGTGATGTTGGGCCTCTCCCAAGCCTGGCCTGTGCCGATACAATGCTCATTGAGACTCTTGGCTTTCTGGTGCCCACCCCCATCACCCAAAGCACTCTGCTTTTCAAGACAGTTTCTTCATCTGTATCACCTTTGCAGTTCTCCATATAGTCCCTTGTCTTTCAGATACTTGGAGGCTTTATCTGCTTGTACCTCCCATCTCACGGTGGTCCCCATCCTCCATGGAGCTGTCATCTTCATATGTCTCAAACTCATGACTCGCTCCTCCTTTAGTCTCAACAGAGTGGAGTCCACCACCCACATTCGCCTGACTCTTCTGCTGAATCCTTTCACCTGTCCCGTCAGAAACAAGGAGGTGAAGGCAGCTCTGAGGATAACGGCAAGACAGTGAAAGGCAACTTCAGCCTTAGCAAAGGTTCCCTGACAGCTCAGAAAACACAAACCAAATGCTGCGTTTCTGGAACTTCAATACAGCTGCACTTTTACATTAAATAATGAGCATGGTTTTTAGTCTTCTCTCAGGACAGCCTATTGCAGAGCCTTCTTCTTTAGTTACATCCATTTTGACATAAAGAAGAGGACATATTGAGCAAAACATACATTTTATATACTTTTCAAACCAGTATGTTGTGATCCGGCCTAGCATAGTTTTTCGGAGAAAAAAAGATGCTTTGTGGACAATGTCCTTTTCAGATGTTGGTCTTGTTCTCCTTAACTGACATACAGTGCAGGCGGAGAATAGAAAAGACGGCATCAGCATTTTAACTTGTTATCTAGAAGGATTTTGTCATGATGTAGAGCAACGAGCACCCCCAAAGTATGAGTCAGCAGGTCCATCTCAGACTTGTATCCTAGATAGCAGATCATTCTGCCCCAGAAGCATCTGTTGATTTTTGCCGTCATCTAGGCACCAGGTAGATTATGGGCAGAAGGTCTCGGCCCCAGGGTCAGAGCTGGGGCTGGGGCCAAGGCCAAGGCTGGATTCAAGAGTGGCCCAGGTGAAGGTTCCCTCCAGTGACTGCCTGGGAATTCGTGGGAGGCCAGGAGGACAACAGTAGCCCAGGCCCGCCCCAAACTGGGAATGACCCCGTCCGCCATCCTGCTCCAATGGCGCTGGTGGTGTGTGGGGTCTGTGTGAGGGCAAAGCCCCCACACCACAGGGCCCAAGGGTCTGCAGATGTGAGGAGACCCTGGCCTGTGTGTAGGGAGCAATGGTGCTGCACAGAGCTCAAGGACCAGCTCAGCCCCAGGGCTCTGGGAATGCTGAAGGAGCTTGGGGTGCCACCCAAGGTGCTTGTGGGAAGGCACCTCAACCTGTGCCCTATGGCTGGTTTGGTACGTGCCCTTTGCCACTGAGAGACAGCTCATGGACCCTGCTGAGTGCAGAAGCAAATCTCACTGTCACTGCCATGTCTCTGTGGAGCTGGGGGGATCTGCTCTCAGACAGCACCTTTCCACACCAGAGCTGGACTGTGGCACTTGCGGGACCGTAGAGTTCGTGGGCCTGAAGAAAGCTGCTCCGTGCTTGGGGAAGTCAAGGCACCAAAGAGCATCCATGTGTGGTTGGCCACCGGTCGCTGTCCTGGGCCTGCCTTCACCCAAGCAGGGTTTGGGTTCTCTGGGACAGGGGCTTCCCGCTGTAGCTGATACCAGTACTAACGTGTAAACCCCTCAGCCCTACACACGTAGCCAACAGGTGGGCCATGCCAGATGCTGTGCTGAAGGGTGATAGGGCTGCCCGGGGAAGCTGTCCCTGCTGCCCATGCCCAGGTGTGCTGACCATGGATCTTAGATCAGGTGATGGAGGGGAGGGAATCAAGACTGCGAGCCATCCCCAAGGCTCTTT